ATAAAGAATAAGAGTAGACTTACAGATTTTATATGTTTGTACATGTTGATATAAAGAATAAGAGTAGACTTACAGATTTTATATGTTTGTACATGTTGATATAAAGAATAAGAGTAGACTTACAGATTTTATATGTTTGTACATGTTGATATAAAGAATAAGAGTAGACTTTACAGATTTTATATGTTTGTACATGTTAATATAAAGAATAAGAGTAGACTTACAGGTTTTATATGTTTGTACATGTTAATATAAAGAATAAGAGTAGACTTACAGATTTTATATGTTTGTACATGTTGACAGAGAGAGAGTAAGAACTGTTTTCTCTCACAAGATATTTTTTTTTAACAACAACGTTTTATTGAAGTGTATACAAAACCAACTCTGCCTCTGTAGATTTTGTAGCTCTTCCATAACATGAAATACACAGAAACAGTCATTTTGACGCTGTCTAGGCTTGAACATCAGGAACATTCTAGGGTTGAACATTCTAAACTGACTACCAAAATGGCATTGATGGCTTCTTTGTCTGTTAAGAGACATAACAGCCATCTTGCAGCAAGTGGTGGAGTCTTGCATGTGGCTTAGGCCTTTTTTGGGCCTTCTGTTCTTCTATAATTCTTGTTTATGAGGTGGGGATTTTCGAGTCTTTTCATGCTGTCTAAATTTGTAAACAATTCTTCCATTGCAGATGTGAATCTACCTCAACATTTTGCATTATTCTGTGATTTTCTTTCTTGGAATTATTACATCCCTTCATTCTTTCTTACTTCTTATTATTCTTCACTTTCATTTTTCAGGATATCATTTTTTTCTCCTTCCCCTGATATCCGAGTTCAAGGTGAACGAAAAATTATGCACTTTGACATACAATCATTTCGTTCTTTTTTTCAACATTTGCATTCTTCCTTGCATTGTCCCTTCTCACTTGGTTAATCTGTTGCTGAGATTTTTTGGAAAGGGTCGCCCTTGTAAAAATATGTTTACCTCCCACTTATCTTAAGGACCTGTATTTGGCTCATTTCCTCTGCCAATAGAGTGTTTGGGGGTATCTGTTTTATTGTAATCATGGACTGTGGCTGTGCACCAACATTTTTTCTTGACTGCCCTTGTGTCCTATCTGTTTGAAGCTCCTTCTCTTCCAGTTACTGTCTTCTTTCCTCCCGATTCCTTTCTGCTCCATGTTCTTCCATCCCATTCCTTTTCTTCCAATTGTTCTTCCATTATCCATAGATTTCAGAGCCAACAGTCTCATTTGTGACTATCCTCTGGGCTCAGAAACAGTGGGGCCTGTTTGGCTTGATTTATGGATCTGTGGATTCCCTTCTGGTTGATTGTTGAGGGCTATATGTCCTATCTGTTGGTCTTACCCTTCATTGTTTCTCTTCTTCTCCCTTGTTTCTCATTCCCATTTTTTCCCTTCCTCCAGGGGATCCTCTTTCCACTTGGCATCTGTCTGATACACTTCATTGTTTCTCTTCTTCTCCCTTGTTTCTCATTCCCATTTTTTCCCTTCCTCCAGGGGATCCTCTTTCCACTTGGCATCTGTCTGATACAGTGTCTGACCTCTTGGCTTAGGATACTATCAAAAGTCTTTCTCACCTTTCTCTGGGATTTATTCTTATCTGTTTGTCATTCCCCTCTACATTGAGGTTTGGCTTCCAGTCATCATTCTGTACATCTCCATTAGTTTCTCAACCTTCCTCAGTTTCTGTGGTTAAGTTTCTCACCCTCTATTTGGTTTTTTCTCTGGATCTTTTGATAAGCAAGGTGGATGTCTTTGTTGCTCACCTTCACATTCCCATCTCGTCAGCATCCAGACATTACCTTTGGTCATGGACAACTGGCTTCTTTTAGCTTCATCCCAACAGGACTCCTCTGACCATACTCTTCTCATTCAGGAGGCAGCTCAGCTAGGTTGGCTAGTCATGCTGGAGAAGTATCTCACTCTTTTGTTCCTTGGCCCTAAATCTTCTCATAGATCATTTATAAAAACTTGACAAGATATTTCCCACAGTGTGGTCCCCCAATCCTTGCATTTTTCAATGGCTTTGCTCTCATCTAGAGACCCCTTACATCAATGCCTTGGCCATTTATGACACGATGGGTTTCTTCTATTCTGGTCTCCTGTTCCATATCCATTGGTGGATTTATTCAGTCAGGACTGGTTCAACCTTTTCCTTTATGCTTACTTACTATTTGTCTCCTCCCTCGTGTTTTTTCCCTCATTCAGAATACTCCATGTTGGGTCCATTTGGTGTTGCCCTATTGACCAGCTAAGTCATGGTTTCCTCTGTTGAGCCTTTTAACATTCCCCCCTTTTCTTCCTCTTCTGCTCTCCTGCTCTCATATTTTTCAGCTTCATATTTCTCTCTTCTGCTTTATAGTCACTCTGGCTTCACGTTTGGGATTACTATCAACCCTTACTCAAAATTCTGGATTTACTTTGCATGTAGCTTTCCTGCTTTTCCATTATGTCTTTTCTCTCTCATGGTACAGGAACAGTAATGTCATATTTTTACTGTTGGCCACTGTATCATTCTTCTTTCCATTTTATCCTTTTTTTACCCATCTCCCTAAATTCATCACATGGTTTTTTGACCACAGATTATCGGTTTCAACCAATGCTGGTTATAGGGTGGCTCCCTCTACTACTTTTTGGTTTTCTGTTACTGTTGTTTTTCTTCCCCAGACCTCATTATGTTTTTCTATTTCTTTCTGCTTCTTTGTCCTATCCATTCTTCTTGTTTTCCCAACTGGGATCTGAATGTTGTTCTCCATGCCTTTACCTTTCCCTTTTTTGAAACCATCTCTCCATAAAAACAGTTTCCTCGGTGAGCATCAACCTTCTTATGTGTATGTCACTGATTCTTCACATATTTGTTTTCATTGCTCTTATACCCTTCTCTATCCTGGTCATGCTTTTTGCCTATAACATCTGCAGCATGTGAAGGTGAAAGTGTGTTCACACCTATATCTCCCACTTCTATTTCTCATCTTTATTTTCACTCAGATCCTGATCTCCTTCTTTATCCTATCCATGGAGTCTTTTATTATTTAGCTTGTACTTCTTCCCTTCATGGTTTCTGATTCCATCTCTTCATTCCTTGGAATCCTTCTTTCACTCATGATCTTTTCTCCATTACACTTACTGAAGGGATTTGTCAACTCATCCATTCTTCATTGGAAGGGAATGCATGTCGGCACTTCCAGGTGTCTTCTCATTAAATTCAGTACCTTAAGGCCTCCATAGCTGCTCACCTCCATCGTTTGTTGGAGGAGATTGTTCAGGCTGGCATGTGGACAACCCTTCATACCTTTGTTTCACACTATCTCTATCATTTGGCCATTTCATTTTCATAGGGATATAGACTGCCTCCAATTGCTATTCTCCACACCTCTTACCATTATTGACTTGATAAGTTCTCTTTTTTATCTTTCTTTTACAATGGCTCTCTTGTGCCATACAGGATCCAACTCAGTGGCAAGTGTTGCTTGCCAGGGTATAACTTATTCAAAATCCACCTAGTGTAGGGCCAGCCATGAAGGCCTGATATAGTATTCAAAAGACTACTCAAGGTATCCTCAAAGTACTCCATTCTCTTAAATAAGGCCTGATCCAGATCATACCCACTCATGGACTAGCAACAGTAAAACAGGCAGGGATCCCCGCCTATTGTTCATGCTTAGTTTAAAACTTTGTTCTGGCCTGTTTTGTTAGTCACCTATTTCACTGTCTTATGGAGATGCACTCCTCCAGGTTCCCCAACATGCTTTCACCCCCGTTTTTCTTTTAGTGTAGCATGGAAGTCCTTTCCACTTACCAGTTCCTAGCTGCTGGGGCGGTGGACCATGGAGGTTGCTTTCTGCTCTGATCATATCCACTCAGTAGAGATTAGGATGGTGGTATTCTGTTCATATAGTAAAGTTTACCCCTCTGTCAGTTTCCCCATTCTACTGCTACCCAGATATTGGTTTCCCAGGTGGTCTTGTGTTAGATTAGAACAGGACTAGCCAACATAAGTCCTCACTCAGTTGCAGTTTAGATGTTACATTCTTATTCTGCCTCACTGTACTGGAGGTGAAGATGGTAGGAACACTCCTCCTACTGTGGTCCAGAAACCAAATTACTGGTGCTGCCTGGATTTGGACTGGAGTTGACCCATCATGTACAGTCTGACATGTCATAGTTACAATACACATCTAGCGCATCCAGTTACCTGGTGCAGGTTCTGGATTGTGCTTGTATTTCCACCTGTCCTTTTGACACTTGTTTTTTTTCATGGGCAAAGAGTGCATATGAGGTGTGGTCTCCTACAGGTGTGCCCCTATACCATTTCAAGGTGTAGGGTGTCACACTCCATGTGTTTCCTTTCGGTGTTTCCCAAAGGGGGCTCATTAAAGTAGAAATTTTCATGGGACCATCCTCCACTTCAGTGTAAGATTCTAGCTATATGTGAGTGAAGGTTATGTATCATATCAGAAGTTGAAATTTTCCAACACTGAAAATGTATTTCTGATAGATACTTCCCACCCTTACTCCCCACTTCCAATGAATCTTACTTTTTTGCCTAATCTTGAGTGACAATCAGAGTAGAGGGAGTCAGCTGCACTAGGAGGTGGTATCAAACTCCAATTGGTGGAGGGATGTCACAAACTCATTTGCATGCAATAATGCAGCAATATTACATGGACAAATATGAGATTAGGTGGGAGCCTCAAGCCTAGTGGTGAGCAAAAATGTTTCCATATAGATGGCAGCACTGAATTTGGAAAGTTGTATGAGAGCAGTGTTGAAAAATGATAACTTTTATATGTTTATACATGTTGATAGAGAGAATATGAAAAGAACTGTAGATTTTATATGTAATAGAAAGACTAAGAAAAGACTTGCATATTTCATGTGTTCATACGTGTTCTTAGAGAGAAAATAAGTGTAGATGATTATATTTTTGCTCTTGTTATTAAAATACCAGAGTCATGTACTCTTATAGGTCAGTACGAGATAAGTGGGATTCACTGAATGAACAAGCTTCACTGGCTCTAAGGAAGCTAGACTCGTGCCAGCAGCAGATAAAGTCCTTTCATCAAGGACAAGAGCAACTAATTCGGTGGCTTCAAGATGTAGAATTGGCTATAGAGCAGCACACAGAAGCCAAAGGAACACTCCAGGAGAAACGTGCACAGCTTCAGAATCACAAGGTGAACACTATGCATGGAAATAAAGATGTCTTTAACTTCAGAATCATATTAAACCAACTAAACTCTAAAGCCTTAATGTTGTGTCACTTTCACTTTAATTTCCATCAAGGAAACTAGTAATATTATAATTGACATCTAGCCTAATGACCCCAGTTTTTTAATTCACATTAGTGTATTAGTGTTAAAATGTAAATTTTGTCATCAGTGTAACTAAAGCTATTTGTATTGAATTACAGGTAGTTTACCAGGATATTGTTTCACATAAGGCAGCTGTTGACACAGTCTGTGACAAATCTGAACAACTGACATCATTGACGCAGGATGACAGCTTACATGGCCAAGTACAAAACCTGAAGGACAAGTACCAAACAATGTCTACAAAGTCACAGGTAAAATTAAAGAATAAAGAGGTTATCCAATAATGTCTGTCCAAGTCACTAATGTCATAGTATTTATATTTATAGCTATGTTTATGATGGAAAAACGTATTTGTGTCTTGTTATTCTTTGATTGTTATCAAAATTAATGTATTGTTATATAACTTTAAGACCTTCTGACATAGTTAAAGAACTCTATGACTGTACTCAGAATTATCTATATTGTTACATGACTAAGATTTCCTGATGTATCTACAGAACTTTGTGACTGTAATCAGAATTATCTGTATTGTTACATGACTAAGATGTTTTGACGTAGCTAGAGAACTGTATGACTGTACTCAGAATTATCTATATTGTTACATGACTAACACATCCTAACATAGCTAGAGAACTGTATGACTGTACTCAGAATTATCTATATTGTTACATGACTAACACATCCTAACATAGCTAGAGAACTGTATGACTGTACTCAGAATTATCTATATTGTTACATGACTAAGATTTCCTGATGTATCTACAGAACTGTGTGACTGTAATCAGAATTATCTGTATTGTTACATGACTAACACCTCCTAACATAGCTAGAGAACTGTGTGACTGTAATCATAATTATTTATATTGTTACATGACTAAGATTTCCTGATGTAGCTACAGAACTGTGTGATTGTTATCAGAATTATCTGTATTGTTACATGACTAAGATTTCCTGATGTAGCTACAGAACTGTGTGATTATTATCAAAATTATCTGATATAGAAGTGTATGATAGTAATCAGAATTACCTATGCTGTTTCTGTAGGATCTCCTGACATGGCTAGACAAGTGTGTTTCTGAACATCAGCAGTACCTTGATTTGTGTAAGGCATTCCAAGATTTTCTCTTGGGTCACCAGCAGAAGTTACAAGAATGCCGTGATACAGCAGGGGAGAAACGAACTATTCAGAGTCGACTCACCACCCTCAGGGTTTGTGTTTTCTTTATCACTTTTTAATTAATAAGAATGTTTCTTTAACTACCAAACAACAGCAAATAATCATTATTTTTATTGAAATTCTGAGATGTATATATATATATATATATATATTGTTAGAGATTACTAGAATGTTGAGGATTTTGCTATTGGATGTATGTCCTTATAGATTGTCCAGATATTATATCAACAGATATTTGTTAGTAAATGTTCCCCATTCTGATTTATTTTATGTATAAAGTGTGTTGTTTTGAAGGAACTGAGAACACAGGAAAAGGAAGGAGATAGCAAAATGCAGTCTCTTTGTGACCAGTGCCATGAGGTATGTATGCATACTTCTGAGTATGGTGCAGATGTTCTGCGAAGAGAAGTGCAAGAAATGCGGGATTCATGGAGCCAACACACAACATCGACTTTGGAGGCTGAGCACAATTTGGAGAATGTGTTACAGCAGTGGATGGGTTATGAGGAAAATTTGCAGTTCATGTTAGCATGGTTGAAGGAGTTAGAGTCAGCCGTTAAACATCCTCAACTTCAATCGTCTGTTGAAGAAAAAGAAGAGCAGCTCAAAACTGTCCAGGTATAAAACATTATGTTCAACTACAACTTAAAGCTGAAAACACTCAACTCAAAGTTATTTAGAACAGAGTAGTAAGTTGAACTAATAGTCTGATCTGTACAGGACAGAATACTGTGTTAACAACACTGGACTATACTGGACAGAATGCTGTGTTAACTAACACTGGACTGTACAGGAAAGAATACTGTGTTAACTAACACTGGACTGTATAGGACAGAATACTGTATTAACTAACACTGGACTGTACAGAACAGAATACTGTGTTAACTAACACTGGACTGTACAGAACAGAATACTATGTTAAACAAAGACTGAACTATACATCACAGAATACTATGTTAAATTAAGAGTGGACTGCACATCACAGAATACTGTGTTAACTAACACTGGACTATACAGAACAGAATACTATTTTAAACAAAGACTGAACTATACATCACAAAATACTATGTTAAATTAAGAGTGGACTGCACATCACAGAATACTATGTTAAAGTAAGACTAGACTGTAGAGGAGAGAATACTATTCATAAACATACTTACCTCCTCTGACACTAATAGCTATTTCTTGATCTTCATCTTTGCCATCTAACTTTGTGTTCATTTGCTCCAGTCTTTATATACCCCATTCGACTGCCCTCGGCAATATCTAATTTACAAAACTTTATGCCAGCCCTCACACAACCTCTTTGCAGGTACTGTATATAACCACTTTTTATCGACAAAGCGCAAGCATTCAGACGAACGTTTTGTGATTCACATATTCTTTAGTTGTCACTTTCTAATAATCGGGAGTTCTTTGTTTTGTTATCCAGAGATATATTTCATTGAATTTGTTTTTTCCTATAAATATATTATAAAAAAGAAATTTGGATATGAATTCCTGTGTAATAGTTTCAAGCACGGAGGATACCCAGCCTTCATCTATTCCCACATTGTTATCTAGTGGTGATCAACAGTCGGGGGGAGGGGGTTGGGCACTCTCTGTGTAAGCTTTCTGTGACCTAATTTGGGGTGAGATCAAGTCCTTCATGCAGTCTGGGGGTATCTCTCCAGGAGGTGCTGATTTGAATTTTCATTTTGAAACAGAGAATTTAGACTCCATGTTTCCTGCCCCTTCTTTCACTAGAGCTTCCTCTCCTGACGACTCATCTGATCAGCCTTCTTCTGTCCCTTTTTCTGCAGTTAGTTACACGTGTTTGTGAAGTTTTAGAGATGCAACCAGTTGCTTTTAAGTCTACCCATGCTTTTTTGTCTGATTGTTTTCAAGGGGATTACCTAGTTTTTCCTCCTTCTTCTGATATTGCTGTGCATGCAGGGAGGTTTGCAACACAATTACGTGAGGGTATCGCTATGCCTTCTCCCCCCTTGTTTATCAGAAGAACATGCTGTGGCATATAATCATCAGGATGATATATATTTGGACACTCAAGGGTTGGATCCATTGTTGGATGTATGGGGTGCCAGGTACAAACCTGTTATCTCTCTTAAAAGTTTGCAATTTTTGTGGATTCGTTTGACTCTTACTACTGTTTTAAGATACTTCTCTTCCCTTCAACTTGTGTCTAAAGCATATCACAGATCGTCTCAACAATTTGATGACAAACTGGGCTATTTACTGGTCACTATTATGATTTGTTTGTCCTCTTCAGGACTTGCCTTGGTGTCGTGGTTGGTCTGTTGTTGAGACTTGTTGAGTCGTGATGCATATTTGGAGGTATTCACTTACCTTCTGCTGCCCTACGAGATTTACAGGAAGCTCCTTTTCTTCGACCTTATTTATTTACTGGAATTCCAGAATTTTTAAAAGCCAGAGTTGATGCAGCATCTTTACAATCTTCTTTATCGTCTTTGGCGCTCGACCCTGTTCTACTTTCACTTCTACTTCTGCATGTTCATTCCTTCATGTCTCAAGGCCCCCTCCTACCACTCATCATTTCATTGGTTCTCTTAATCATTTCTGTCCTTAATATTGGCAGATATTTTGTGAACCAGTATGTGGACTTCTCCCGACATGTTCACATCTCATTACCTTCACAATCTGGTAGTTTCATCTTCAACGGGACTATGTCTTCTCCCTGTGGCTGTGTTGACTACCTCTACTATATTTTAACAGGGTGGTGAGTAACGTGTTATCTGACTTAAAGTTTTTGTTCCTTTCTCTTCTAAGGTTCCTATTGATTATTTTGGATCCCACTCAGTGGCGAGTGTTGCCCAGTCGGGTATGCTTGTATTTAAATTCTGCACTAGTAACTTTTATATCGGTTCCTGGTTGCAATGGGCTCTGTCGAGATGGGGTGTTTCATAAAACCATCTGGACACAATTCTGGATGGTGATAACATATTACAATATTTCTAGTGGACCAGTATTCATGAGTAAAGGTAAAGGGGATTTTGCCAGTCCCTGCTGATCTTAGAGCTGAATCAGTCAAGATCAGTTTGCTTTTAAAAATTAGGGAATGTGGTTCACCTGTTGCACTGTCTCTGGAGACCTGTTCCTCAGGACTCCCCAACACTTATGTTTCACCCATACTTCGACTAGTGGAGCTTGGGAGTCCTTACCACACCCAGTTCCCAGTTGCTGGGGTGGTGGACAGAGGATTTACCTTCGAAGTATGTTGAGTTTTCTCCACTCTTGGGATCCTCCTACCTGGGTCCCTGGAAGTTTTCCCAGATGTCGGTAGGAGTAGGACCAACCTATGCAGGAACCTACTTGTTAAACCAGTCCAGATTTGACACTTAGCTACCCAGTTGGGAGTGCTTTGACCCTCTTATGAACACTGTCGGGTCTTATGCTGTTCATGCAGGGGGTCCACTATCTCCTTGTAAATCCAAACACGACGTAGTTCCTTGGTAGGACTGTGTTCCACATCCTCTCCTTAATTCCATGGGTAAGCATAATTCTCCTTGCCCACTTAGTGGGCGAGTAAAGACAACTGTTTGTAAATCCAGACTGGATGAGTTTTGGATGTTGGTGGAGTATGGCATATGACCATCATACTTGTATTATATTCCACCCTTTTAAATTTTCTGTAGTTCTGGGTGAAGACAGTACCTGTTCTGGATGTATTGTGGTGTTACTCACTTTGATACCACTTCTTGTGGTACATATTTGATCTCTGCATATGCTTTCTGTATTATCTCTGTCCTCACTGGCTCCCTTTGCCTTCTCAGTGTGGGATTCTAGCTATTAGTGTCAGTGGAGGTATGTATGTTTTGTTATCATTTTCCAAAACTGAAAATTTATTTCCAAACATATTTACCTCCGCTGATACTCTCCCTCCCTTCCTTCGCACCAAGAGCCAATGTTAGTGACCGGAATGTGGTAAGTCTTGAAAAAGTGATTTTATTGTCTGCATACAGCACTTATATACAGTACCTGCAAAGAGGGCGTGTGAGGGCTGGCATAAAGTTGTGCAAATTAGATATTGCCGAGGGCAGTCAAGTGGGGTATATAAAGACTGGAGCAAGCGAACACAATGTTAGATGGCAAAGATGAAGATCAAGAAATAACTATTAGTGTCAGTGGAGGTAAGTATGCTTGGAAATACATCTTCAGTTTAGGAAAATGATAACTTATGAATGGGAAAAAAGTGCCAGTTTTAAAAATTTTGATTCATTTTTACTTACTAAAAGCTATTAGTACAAATACGTTTTTTTGCATACAAGGAGTAAGTACATACTCATAATTATTACTGTTTAAATAAATTCTCAAAACCAAGGAATCTTTAAATTGAATGTCTTGTAGAAATTAGAAAAACAATATTTTCATCATTTCCCTGATTATAATAATAACTATATCTCAGTCTTGTGAAATAAAGATAAAAAAGTATAAGTTTATTTAATAAGTTTTAAATGTTGAACAGGAGTTGAGAGACAAAGTACTGAATCACCAGAAAACTGTGGACAGTCTTACTGATGAGGGTCATGCTTTACTTCAAGTTTCTGGAGTAGAGCACATTCGTGGCCAGATATCTCAGTGTAGTTTCCGATACCAGTCACTTCTCAGTAACGTGAAGGTGAGAATTAAATAATTTTATAGATAAAACTGAGTTTGAAATAACCAGATTATTTTAGCTTGAAATATAAATTTCATGCAACAGGTAATATTTTACTGCTAGATTGTTCTTTTATCATTTTTATATATCAAGTAAACATTTCACTGAAAACTAGCAATAAGCAAGGAATTTTGAATGAATATCTAAATAGTTTGATGTAATCCAGATATAATGAAACTGGCATTCAATGTATTTTACAATAGTAATAGTATTTATAGTTCTTAGATAATGATGGTAAAATATCACTTGTATTTTTAGTTGGTATGTCTTGGCTCTGTTATATTTAAAGTGATACAGATAGATATAGAGAATTCATATGAAATTTTAAATATCATGTCTTTCAGGCTTTAATTATTCGGTGGGAAAATATGGTTGAAGACCATAAGAATTACAAAAAAATGACATCCGAGTTTGAAGCTTGGTTAACAGGAGCAGAGAATGTTGTATCTGAGTTGAAGAAAGAGGGTAAAATTGAAAACAAGATGGATAAACTACAAGTATGACATATTTTATAGTTTACTACAAATATTGGTGAATGTGTATCAAGTTTTAAATACTTTTCAAACTTAACATTAAAGACTAAAGCTTTTAAGGGGAACTGTACAAGAATGAGTTTTGAATAATTAATTGTTTTTATTTCATGTTTCTGTTAAAACTAAGGGTTGGAATGTTTATTAAATGTTTTAATATCATAAATTTAGGTTTATGTTAAACTTAAGGTATTGAATTTTCAAGATGTACAGTAGTTGATGATTTTAAAATTTTTTGTTCATTAATTTTAGATTTTCATAACCCAAAAATATAACCTAAACTTCTGAGTCAAATTGAATAATAAGTGATGGTTTAATAAACATAACATACATCACGGATCTTATAAACCTAAAGTATGTCAGCTCATACATCTGGCTATTTAGGAGTTGATAGATTGTGTCAGAATCTTTGTTTTGTACATTTTGGAATCTTATAAACCTAAAGTATGGCTGTCCTTTATCTGGGTGTTTAGGAGTTGATGCTTTTAGACAGAATCTTTGTTTTGTACGTTTTGTGATCTTATAAACCTAAAGTATATCAGCTTCTGTATCTGGGGTCTTGGGAAAATGTTTTTTTTTATGCAGTTATCTGTTCCATATTTTCCGAGTTCTAACAAAATTTAAAAGACTGAAGTTTTTGAATCTAGTTGGTTTATTAAACGTTTTAGGTTCTAATGAATGATAAGTCTAAAGGGCAGCAACTTCTAAATCAAGTTGTGCAAGCAGGAGAAAGACTTTATCAAGACACATCAGCCAATGGAAGGGATGCAGTAAGACAAGAGTTACGTAAGCTGCATGATTGTTGGGATCAGTTGGACGTTGAACTAACAGAACAGCAAAGACTGTTGCAAAATCGCAGTCAGCAGTGGCATGTCTTCATGGATAATTTAAAACAAGTATGGAACAGAAATTTCTTGATTTGAGAAACTCTGTAAAATAGTTTGTTTTCTGAAAGTGTTAAATAGTTTTAATTTCATTGAGTTTTGAATTTTCACAGATATTATTTTTATGACATCATCATCAATTTTTGTACAGAAGTGCCTTGGCTAAGCTGTAGCCTTTTGCTTGTAAAGGTATAATCTCTACAGAGCCTTTTTTTCAATATTGACCTCATTTAAGATCTTTGATTGGATGTCCAGCTCACAATCACCAGCTCATGCTCTACATTCTTTCTCTTGTGTCTTCAGCTATTTTATGGAGGATCCAGTATTACTTTGTTTTCAGTGGAGAAATTCCATTATTGTATCTAAAGAAATACTTCAGGTTTTATAAAGAAGGTCCCAAATAATCAGCAAGCTATTTAGTTGATCTAAAAAACTAGATTAATAATGACGAACTAGAGTCTTTTAAGGATAGTTTTTCATTCTCTAATGAATTTCAAAATTACAAGTTTGATACTAAGGTTTCTTGTGCTAGTTTTAATAGTGAATACTAGCATTTGTCTATAGGAAATAACACAGTTAAGTGTGGAATTAATTTTTAATAATGAGGATAATATATCTATTTGCAACCAAGGAATCACAGTTTTTGTTAATGATCAGGTTGATTCACGTTTAAGATAAGGTTCTTTTTTGACCAATCATTTCTTTTTTCATAAAAAATGGTGGTTGAATGAATGTCTTTTAAATCATTATATAACACTTTTAAGAATCCAGATTATGTTAATAAATTTATATATTTATATTAATAAAGAGTACTAAACACAGTTAAACAAGATGGTAAACTATCCTTTTCAGATTGTTTCATAACTGTAACTTTGAGTAAAAAGTTCACAGTTATTTGTGATGAAATCTACGAAGACTGAAAGTGCCAAGTTTTATCTAAACATACCTTAAATGTTAAAAAAATATGTACCCTACTTCACAAACTGTGCACGAACATACAATTGAGATATATTTTTAAATCAAAATGTAATCTCCAGTATTTCTAAAGATGTATGGTCAAGTTTCTGCACATAAAACATCAAATCTAGTTTATTATATATTTACTTGTTTTGTAGCAAATAAGGTATACTTAGATCCACCACAAGGTAGCTGCAGATATGAGTGAAAGAACATTCAAACTGAAAGATAAGTAAAGTGTTTTACAGCATAGGTGATATTAAGTAAGGTCAATGATGAAAAAACTCTGAATAAAAGAGAGCTGGTACTTTTGCAAGCAGAAGCTGTCAAGTCAGATTAAACTGATTTTTTTAGAAGATATTATAATTATTATTCCTCTCCTACATGTTTATCTACATAAGTGCTTTAATAAAAATATGACAGTTAAAGAAGGTACTAAGTTAGACATTGTTAAGTTTTAACACATGCAGATTTAACATGTGTAGTCATGTACAGTTTCTTAAAACTCTTCCTGTCATTTATTATTTATATTATTTCTACAGATTGTGAACTGGTTAAATGCAACTGAAAAGTCTGTTGAATTAGATAAGAACAACCACCCTGGGGTGCAAGACATACCAACTCGTTTACAGAAATACAAGGTGAGAAAGTATACTGGAGATATTAGTTTCGATTCTACTAGTTCCTCACCTTGTTCTGTAATTTAATAAACATATAGTAACAGCACATGTTTTCTACAGATTAGTGGTTGTATGTTTAGTGTAAAGTTTGGTAACAGCACCTGTTTTCTACAGATTAGTGGTTGTATGTTTAGTTTAAAGTTTGGTAACAGCACCTGTTTTCTACAGATTAGTGGTTGTATGTTTAGTTTAAAGTTTGGTAACAGCACCTGTTTTCTACAGATTATTGGTAGAATATCTAGTTTAGAAACTAGGTTGTGTTACAGGTTGTGTTAAGATGAATTCTGAAACCATCATAAAGATAAGACTACTTGTTACAACTTACATCAAGTGTTTGACTAGTTTGTTAAAGTTCAAATAAATAACCAGGACCCAGAGTACAATAAATGTTGTTTTATAAACTCTCGTATTAAACTTAAAATGAACAGTCATCGATATATAACATTTACAAAGATGGAGCATGCAATAAACAACAAAAGACTAATTGTCACCATGGATGCAGCTGCCACAAGAGACAAAACAGACACAAACCATCAAATTCACTACAAGAATGAAGTGTTATCTCCATGATTGATCAGTGTATGATTAATGGTCGGTTAAAGTTAGCAAATGGATCAACAGTGCCAATAGTGATGGGAGCTTGTGATAAACATCAAGAGATGTCAACAAATTACAACATGCCAGTATGCGAAGGCTATGTCAGGGACAAGAAAGTGAAGGTACTGCGAGATACTGGGTGCAGTAGTGCAGCAGTGAGAACCAGTCTAGTGTCCGATAACCAGATGACAGGCAAGGTATGCCTGTGTATGCTAATTGATGGGACAGTGAGAAAGTTTCCCATAGCAAAATTAAGTGTGGATACTCCATACTATGTAGGAGACCTTGGCCATGTGTGTGAAGTCATCAATCTATGACTTGATGATTGGAAACGTACTGAGTTGTAGAAGTTTGGAGGAACCAGACAAAAAGGAGACTGATGAAGCATCTGTAGTCACAACAAGAGCTCAAGGAAAAAAAGCAAGCAAGACATCAAGTCCCTCCAAGTCTCAAAAGGTGAAATTGCAAATATAGGTTTATGGGAACTGAAGTAAGCACAAAAAAAGACCCTTCACTGCATAAACTTTGGGACAGTGCTCAGGAAAAAGGCAAGCATAAGACAAAGGGGGGAGAGACTTACAGAATAGAGGACCATAAGGGAGTGCTGTACCAGATCTGTCAAGGTAGTTATACTGGGGAAGCTAAACATATCTAAAGGATTCAGAAGCACTTGTATGACAAGAAGGCCAAGGATCGATGTTTCAAGTTCAGACAGAAGGTCTTGGTTCTGTTACCTATGGATAACAACAAACTCACCCTGTAGTGGAATAGACCATTGAGGTGCAGGAAGTGGTCAACAGAGTGGACTATAAAGTGAAAGTGGACAGGAAGACCAAGATCTACCACACCAATCTATTAAAGAAGTACTTCAACAGGGAAGAAGACCTAATGGATGCAGCTATTAAGGTACAGATGAACATGGCAAGTGTGGCTGTCAGAGATTCAGAACCAGAAGACAGTGGTTTAGTGATAGAAGATGAAGATCTACTAGACCTAAGATCACTAGGTGAAGATGAGACGTATAAAGATATCAACATAGCTGAAAACTTCCAGCATAGAGATAGACTATGCAAGACAGACCTCAGGCAACACAAGATGAAGATCTACCAGACCTAAGATCACCGGGTGAAGATGAGACGTATAAAAATGTCAACATAGCTGAAGAACTTCCAGTATAGAGATAGACTAGGCAAGACAGATTTCTAGCAACACAAGATGAAGACAAAGGAATCCTGTGAAGGTGGAGCCTTTCTTTATGCCCTATATGAGGAGAGACCAACAAAGGAACTGGAAATTTTGGTGCAGATCATATGAGGAGACCTTGTGTGTGAACTGAAAACAGTCTTTATATTCAGTATTAACAATATTGTCAATATTTTTCTTGAAGAGGGGCCTATTGTTGGATATACAAAACTGTTCCATTTAAGAGTTATTATTTAGTTTATTTAATGGTTTAATATTTAATCATTATTTAATTTTCATAAGGAGAATATTAAGTTAATTATTTTAAAATTGATAGTTATGACTGTGTGATTGTCAGTTTAGCTGTAATGGGCAATTTCTAAAGTGGAAATATCACAGCTTGTATTGTAATAACAGAGATAAAGAAGAAGAATTTGTCTTTTCAATGGGTATTCTAAAGTAATTGAACCCACCTGTGTGGACTTTGATGAAAAGGAGACAAATTTTTTAAACATCTGGATACAACAACTGTGGTAACCAACAGTTATAGTGGTGAATTTGAAGGGAATTTCACAGCTTCTATTGAACAACAGAGATAACTAACAAAACAGTAAAGCCCAAAATTGCAGTGTTGAAGTTGAAATAGATACATGTTGCATTACAAGATGATTTCCTTAGCGATTCTCAAGTTAAAAATACCACTTTTGAAATGATGAGTAAATATAAGAAGGATGTTATAATGTCCAGTATACTTCCACCATAGTATCAGGCTGTAACTAAAGTTCTGACCGATTTTCAAATGAATTTAGGCAAGCAAAATAGTTATGATTATAGATGTATTTAATCATCAATATATTCTCCATTGTTTTCGATAACCTTGTTCCATCTGTCAACAAGTTTTTGGATGCCACGTTTATAAAATACCTTAGGTTTTTGACCCAAAATAAGAGATTAACTCATTTTCGACCTCCTCTCTTGAAGTTAGTCCAAGTCCATCCAAATGATTTTGTAAACTCATAAACAAATGATAGTCAGAAGGAGCAAGTTTGGGAGAATATGATGGGTGAAGCACTTTTTCCCAGCCAAGTTCCTTTAGGAGATTCGTGGTTACTCGTGCGGTATGGGGACATGCATTATCGTGGTGACGAATGACCCCTTTTCTGTTTGCTAAGGACGGGCATTTTTTGTCCAAAGCTATTTTCAAATGTCGCAGTTGTTGGCAGTAAACCTCTGCTGTGATTGTCTGCTTATTGTTTAACATTTCATAATGGACAATTCCTTGCATATCCCACCATACACTTAACATGATCTTCCTTGGATGCAAGTCCTTTCTCGGCTGCTGGGCAGGTCTATCACCATGACTAAACCAATGATGATGGCGCTTAACATTATGATAAAGGATTTATTTTTCATCCCCAGTAATAACTGTGTCCAAAAAAAAGGCACTTGTTGCTGACGTGAATGCAATGCCTCACAGTAATCAACACGTTGTTGGCGATTCTCTACAGACAAGTCCTTTTCAATTTGTGATGGACGATTATATGGCTAACATTGAATTGTCCGCTAAGATCCCTAACTATAATGGCAGGATTTGTTGCAACAGCTGCTTCCAGTGCCTCTGAATCGAGTCCACTTGGCTCCTCCTTTAAACTGAAGTCCCCATTTCTGAAACAGGAAAACCACCTCCTACAAGTTCGTTCACTTACTGCATTGACACCATAAGTGCTCCTGGATAAATATTGCTGCTGCACTTGCATTCACCCCTCTATGAAACTCGTAGAGCATAGCATGATGAATGTGTTCTTTAGTTGGATCAAACATGGGTCAGTTTGAAAGCATTTTCTTGAATACTGTTCCTATATCCTGAAAGTAAAAGAGGTGTATTACTTATGTGGGCATGACTAAACATCAGATAGAGATTGAACTTAATTAAATCTTTTTCAACATTTTTTGGCTCAAAAATCGGACAGAACTTTCGCTACAACCTGGTATAATCCACAGTTTTCATCATGTTATATTTTTATTAATTCCAGGCTGAATACTTACTCATGTGGCAGGTGTTACATTCTTACATTAAAAAAGATGTGCAGGATTAATGTGTAATAATAAAACAAATAGTCCTTTAAACTAGATGTGCAGGTTTAATGTGTAATAATAACACAAACAGTCCTTTAAACTAGATGTGCAGGTTTAATGTGTAATAATAATACAAATAGTCCTTTAAACTAGATGTGCAGGTTTAATGTGTGATAATACTACAAATAGTCCTTTAAACTAGATGTGCAGGTTTAATGTGTGATAATAATACAAACAGTCCTTTAAACTAGATGTGCAGGTTTAATGTGTGATAATACTACAAATAGTCCTTTAAACTAGATGTGCAGGTTTAATGTGTGATAATAATACAAACAGTCCTTTAAACTAGATGTGCAGGTTTAATGTGTAATAATAATACAAAGAGTCCTGTAGTATATTTACATCTGAGTTTTTTTCTTGTAGCTTCTTCAACAGGATATTGTGATACACAAAAGACAGTTAGATTCCTTGCAGGAGAAACTACAGAGTAGCACCACATCTTTAGATGACCTCGAAGTGAAACGGGCTCTCTCTGAGGCAACAGAACGGATAGAAGCCCTTTGTGAAGCTGTTAAAGTAAGAAATATTCATTACTGTCTCAACCGACTATTATTATAAATGTCTATCATCAGTACTGAATAGAATAGCTGTTACAAAATTAGACCATTGGGGGGGTGGAGGCTTTATTTTTAATTGATTTCTGTGATGTTCTTGTAAATGTATGGGAGAGATTTTAGGATTATAAAAATGATTAATATGTATATAAATATACATTGATAGATAGATGTTTTATACAGTTTGTCAATAAATATTTCAAACTTAGAATTAAAATTTATCCTTATGATCTATTTATTCTTATATTTGTCAAATTATATACTTAAAATATTGTTTGATACAAGTATTTAGATTTTCATGTTTTATTTTTTTACTCAGGTGGAATTACTGAGAGTAGAAAATCTGGGATTGCTTGCACAAAAGTATAGGGATCTTCGAGAGCACTACAGTCAGTGGTATCAACAAACACTAGACAAGCTGCTTTTGTGTAAGGACTACACTGGAAATAGAGCAACAATCCAAGCAAGGTTGGAAAAACTACAGGTAAAACTACTAGATCAGCTATATATAGAACTGAGATAGTTAAATATTTACATAAAATCCAATTACTATAAAATGGTTTATGGAAAGTTTTTAGATTATAAAAAAATTAAGAAAAGATAGAAATTCTATAAGACATGAACTATCATATAATTAACAAGAAACACCTTAACCTTAAGAACTATCATATAATTATTAAGAAACACCTTTACCTTATGAACTATCATATTGTTACGTCTCTGTTCGTTAGTTAATTTTACGTAAAAATTCTTCCTGAAGAATTTTACTGATACAAGTCCTTTCTTAAATAAAACTGGTTTATTCTTTTTGAATACAACTTTGCAATACACTTAATTTCAACAGTCGCTCTATAACAAATGGTATAATTCACAATGAACTTCTCACGTGCTCAACAATATTCTTACTCATTACCTCCCGTTGTTTCTTGGCCGGTCTTATATATACAAGACTACCCCAATCTAGTAGTCTCCCGACATTTCATGAAGGTTCGAGAAGGAAGTGGCGTGATACGAGCATCACGTGACCTGCATTGTTGTAACAATATAATTAACAAAAAACACCTTAACCTTATGAACTATCATATAATTAACAAGAAACACCTTAACCTTATGAACTATTGTATAATTAACAAGAAACACCTTAACTTATGAACTATCCTATAATTAACACAAACACCTTAACCTTATGAACTGTCATATAATTAATAAGAAACACCTTAACCTCATGAAGTATTTTATAATTAAAAAGAAATACCTTAACTTCATGAAGTATCTTATAATTAAAAAGAAATACCTTAACTTCATGAAGTATCTTATAATTAAAAAAAATTTAATACGTGTAAGGTTAAGGTGTTTCTTGTTAATTATATGATAGTTTTTGAAGTTAAGGTTCCTTGTTAATTATATGATAGTTTATGAGGTTAAGGTTCCTTGTTAATTATACGATACTTCATGAAGTTCAGGTATTTCTTGTTAATTATACGATAGTTCATAAGGTTAAGGTACTCTTTAGATTCTAATATGCTTTGAATAGTCAAAGTGCTCACAAGTTAAAATGTTTTTTCTAATTCTCTTACAGAATATTGAAAAGCAGCTACCAGAGGGAACAGGAAACGTAAACAGTCTCGGAGAATATACCAAAGAGCTAAGAGAGCTAGTGTGTCCAAAGGACCGGGACACTATGGAACAAGAGCATATGGTTCTTGTTAGTAACCAGCAGCGACTAACTACTGAGACAGATGAAGCCAGTCATCAGCTTCAGGATCGACTTCAGCAGTGGACCACTTATGAAGATCAGTTTAGTTATCTCTTGGAAAGACTAGAACTGCTGGAAGCACAGGTTCAAGATTTTTCACTCAAAACCACTTTAGAAGAAAAGAAAGAACAGTTATCAAGATATCAGGTACTCAAGCAATAAACAAATAACAACAATTTATAGTTGGTAATAATCATTGTAATAATATCTGTATTAATTTATGCATGGGATGGTTACTTTTAATAACCTTTCTTATTAAACTTCTTATTTTTTTGTATTTTGAATAATAATATTTGTAAGATTTTTGTTATCTGTTTTGTTATTTGTTAGTGATATTTTTAAGCATGAAAAATTATATTTTGGTTTTTATTTACTAACTTTAAATGTGGCTATATGTTTATTGTGAACACATTTTGAGCATAATAGTGTTAACTTGCAATGTGGTTTTATGTTTATTGGGAACACATTTTGAGCATGATAGTATTAACTTGCCATGTGGTTTTATGTTTATTGAGAACACATTTTGAGCATGATAGTATTAACTTGAAATGTGGCTTTATGTTTATTGTGAATACATTTTGAGTGTAATTTTTAACTGCATGTCTTAAATACGTACTGCTAGTTCGATTATGAAACAGCTTGTTTCAAGAATGTATAGTGTTTCTAATTCATGCACTGCACTTTGGTGTCCTTTACATTTTCTAACAGGCCTTGATCGATGATATAGAGGCTGAGCAAAGAACTTGGCCCTCCCTTAGCAGTCTTGCTGTCATCCTGGACCAAGTAAGCAACTAATATCTGATGAATGAAAGACAAGTTAAATGGGATACTGTTATAACTTTTGAATTGTTTTAGTTTGGATGTTTTCACAAACTCTTGTAAACTTACTAATTGATTTGTGTCTTATCTTAATATCATTAAATGGAGTACTTACGTTTTAAACAGTCATTCTATATTTCACTTTTAAGAAACACAACATTTTGATAAGTTTACCTAGCGTCATCGGGTGGATACATTTGAATAATAAAACAATACAGTTACACTTTGCATTATCAACAGTGATGCTACATTGTTAATGAACAAAATAAAAGCAACTCAAACATAGTTGTGAAAGTGGTATAAAATAATAAAAAATTCCAAGGCTTTCACATGACATCCAACCATTTTTTATTGTTTTATACCATATACGGTTGGATGTCATGTGAAAGCCTTGGAGTATATGGTATAAAACAATAAAAAATGGTTGGATGGCATGTGAAAGCCTTGGAGTATATGGTATAAAATAATAAAAAATGGTTGGATGGCATGTGACAGCCTTGGAGTATATGGTATATAACAATAAAAAATGGTTGGATGTCATGTGAAAGCCTTGGAGAATATGGTATATAACAATAAAAAATGGGATGGACTGTGGACACTTAACAAACAAACAAAATAAAAAACTCCACAAAACAAAGGAAACTTAATTATTTGCACTATACCATATATGTAAAATATTAGCATACTGTTATGTCTCTGGTCGTTTGTTAATTTCCCGTAAAAATTATTTCCGAAGAACTTCAGCTATACAAGTCCTTTCTTAAATAAAACTAATTTATTCTTTCTCAACATAACTTTGCAATGCACAGAATTTCCACAGTCACTTTAACTTAAACACACGCTATAATTCACAACGTTTCACACACTTTACTTACGTTCTCTTCCTCTCACTCGACTCTATTATCTGTCTCTATATCTCCTTATTTGCCCCTATCTATGCCGTCACTTCTCTCTGCTTTATTTGCCGGGCTTATATATACAAAAATAGAGGGCACGTAGAAAAGACTAGAGTTGCCAGGAACAGACATGATCCTTCTAGAATCTCATGACGTGTTACTAGCGTCATGTGACATCCACTGTCATAACAATACTTCTATCAGAAATTTGGAAAAGACTAGCACGTAAATATAGCCCTAACATAATGCCTAGATTCGTTTTAACCCCTAGAATGAAAGTTAAACACGTTATGAAAATTATATAATGAACCCACCCTACCAGGAAACATTTACAAAATTAAGTGTAAAAGCTGCTCAGCCTTTTACATTGGTGAAACAGGACATAACTTGAAAGATAAGTTAAAAGAACACAAAAAACCACTCCACAAAATATGAACAAAAACAAACAAACAGTTTTTATGAACAGAATGTCACAATACTAAAACATGAACCTAACATTAACAGAAAAAAAAACCAGACAATCCCAAAATTAACAAATACCCAGATACATCTCTATATATATCATATATTGATCATTATTTCCTCACACATTCCTAATCTTACACAAATATTTTCCACAACATTTTCATATTTATTCACTTTTTGTTTGTTTTTTCTGTTCAGCTATGAATAAATAATTTATCAATATAAGCAGATCGATATGCACGTGTATAAGTAACAACTATCAATACTAAAATTTAAATAAATTGTTGAATATTGATTTAATACTAAAACCTTCTTTACCATTAAAATTTGTGTACTTCAAAATGATTGGATCAAATATTGTACCTGTTTTAAAAATATTTTTCTTTATTGTAAAAGTTGTAAAACAATAATGCTTATAATCAGTAAATAAACTCAAAATAAAACTATTCAACTTTACAGTGATTTGCTAAAGTTTTTAATGATCATCAGATTCTTGTGTGGAATACAAAAAATTCATAAAACTGCTCCTTTATATCCTATAGTTTCTGCTTATCAAACTTGTAATCTTGTAAAAATCCTGGCTTGGGTATTTATATCACTAAGGCTTCTTCATCTGACATAAACTCTGCATTATTCATCACAAAACTAAAATATTCTGACACAGTTGCCTTGATGTTCAGTTTTAATATCTATTCACACAAGTGTCTGTTGAAGTAACAGTTCAATATGCTCTGGAATGTTATCAAAACCCCAGGTCTATTTTAGACATCAAAAAATGTCTTCACTTTTCTGCTTCTTATACAAATTTTCTATTTCAGAATGTTCATCATGACCAGATCAACAGAATAAGCATGTGAAATCCTGTTTCACCTGTTTAAACTAATTTACTTGTGTTCATAATTTGATAAATTGTCATTTCCACTTTTTTCCATTCTCCTATGTTCTGGACCTGTTCTGTAGATGACATTTTTACAGACTTTAAGGAAATTGATTATATCGATAGTTTCTCTCACATTTCAATCCACTTCACTCTAATGTCATGTTTACAGTTGAAAATGAAGTCAATGGAAAAATTTCTTTTTTAAACGCTTTGATTGAAAAAATGAAAGTGTATTCCATACCATTGTTTTTTGTCAAGACATATGCTTGGGAGCTTATATTCATTGGAAATTTTTTCACTATCCTATCCAATAATAGGGATCGTAACGACCCTTTTAGATAAAAGTGTTAAAATCACAACTTCACTTCCAAACAAAAGGTATCCTCTCACAGTTAAAAAATACATCCCTAAAAAAATAATTACATCCAATGATTTGGAGAAACCATCTTTTTTATTTTTATATCATATATCACGAAGCTTTCACATGCCATTCCAAAAACTTGGTTAAAAATAATTAAAGAATACAATATTGATTTACATGTGAAATTTTCCTTCCTACTAGCAAAATAAAACTAGGCCAAATTGTATTGCACAAATTTGTTGACGAGAGCACATGTAAAGACTGTGGTAATACTTAAGTTTGAGAAACTGGTCGACAAGTATCTAAAAAATTAAAAGAACATTTAAAAGTCCCTTCTCTTGTATTTGAACACATGGCTCAAAAGAAACACAGTTTCGTTTTTTAGGATATTAAAACAGAAGAAAAGTTCAAGAAGCTCTTTACACTAACAAACAAACATTGACCAGTATTCTGATATAAAATCATATTAATTTTAATTTTTCCATTATTAACAATTGTGTTATTTTTGCTTTTATTTTGTTGTAGTGTAGTATCACTGTTGATAACGCAACATGTAATGGTTTTGTTGTTTCAGTGAAATCTTAGGCAGAATAGACACAGTAAATTTAAGAACTCTAATGGACTAAAACTTGGTATAAAAGCCAAAACATTCTCTCCTTATCATACAGTAGGCAGTTGTATTCCGTTAAAGTTCTTAAACCTACATAATGGTTTTGTTATGTTATTCACATGATGATACAACATTATTGCTTATTTTATCCATAAGTAGAACTTTAATTTCATATTATATGTTCTTCCATTACTTTAAAACATTTATAATCAACCTAACTTGCATATATCTTGGTTTATGTTTTACAACCACTGAAAATCTATTGGATTCAGTGGATAATTTTTTCAATGTCTTTATGATTGTTACATTTCAAAAATATGAAATTGTATTGTTTAAAACACAAATTCTATTTATATAAATAATATTCAGTATGTGTGTGTCTTTCAATTCTCAGTCTTTAAATGTCCATAGACACCATAATATATTAAAGTCAACATCAGTTTTCTTTTATCTTAATGTTATCAGGAAATTATAGTTATTTAAGAGCCAGTCTTGAACAATAAGTATTAAATGAATTATTAGTCTTCATGATTTAGCTGTAATGTTTTACTTTCATTGATTTGAAGGCTCTACTTTCTGAGATGAAAGATAAGGAACGGGAAGTCGACTCTTTGAGTGACAGTACCCAGGAACTGATAGAAGCTAGTGGTGAGATGAGGCTATCAATGGGAGTTTCACAAATTACATCCCGCTACCAATCACTGCTATTAACCTGCAAGGTCAGGAAACTCCATTTAGCTCATAACAATCATAGTCAGTTTAGAAAAGTGTTTGATGAAAATATTTCCACCAGTAAAAGTATAATAAACATGTTTACAAAAGTTTGAAAAAAGTGAAGACACAGTATTGGAGAAAATGTATCAATAATTAGTCCTCATTAGATTGTGATGAAAGTTCCTTCGTTAAAACTTAAACCACATTTTCTGTTATGAAGAGTTTTTTAGCTTAAGTTTATCTATACTGAAATAGAAGTGATTATTTACTGAAAAGAAGGTGTAAACATAAATATCTATTTACTGTGGTGTCAGAAAAAGGGAATGTAAAAATATACATATGTATTTACTGTGGTCTCGAGAAAAGGGAATGTAAAAATATAAGTATGTATTTACTGTGGTCTCGAGAAAAGGGAAGGTAAAAATATAAATATCTATTTACTGTGGTCTCGAGAAAAGGGAATGTAAAAATATAAATATCTATTTACTGTGGTCTCGAGAAAAGGGAATGTAAAAATATAAATATGTATTTACTGTGGTCTCGAGAAAAGGGAATGTAAAAATATAAATATCTATTTACTGTGGTCTCGAGAAAAGGGATGTAAACATATAAATATCTACTAACTGTGTTCTTGGGAAAAGGGAATGTAAAAATATAAATATCTATTTATTGAGATCTCTGGAAAGGGAATATAAACATATTAGGTCGTGAAGAATTGAATGTCGTTTTTTTTTAGATGAAAAACCCCGAACAACTTATATATCAAAACAAAACATTTATCAAATGAAATAGTCTTCATTCTTATTGATGATGCTTTTCCATCTTACAATCAGGTTGTTAATGCCCCGATTAAAGAAATCACTTGACTTTGAAGCAAAAAACATGTCAATGTCCTCTTTAACACCTTCTAAATTTGCATACGTTTTCCCATCAAGATGGTGTTGCAGTGAATAAAAAAGATGGTAATCTGATGGTGCCGCATCTGTAGAATATGGTGGGTGGGGAAGAACTTCCCAACACAACTCCATAATATTGTGTTGCTTCAAACGAGCCACAGGTCATGGAGAAGAAGAACACCTTTCCCATTGACGAGTGAAGAGTGTTTCTGATGAAAGGCTTAATTTAAACATTCCAATTGCTGACTACAGATCTATCCATTGACAGTTCGCTGTGGTTTTTATCTAGGACTGAGCATTTGTTTTTGGTGTTTAATATTCACATAGAGAATCCATTTTTCATCCCTGGTGACAATTCTGTCTAAAAATGGTTCACGAGCATTATGCGCCAAAAGAGACGGAAGCAACGTTCACACGTTGGAAACAGTGATCATCAGAGAGCTCGTGAGGCACTCAAACACCTTCTTTATGGAGTTTTCTTATATTCCTAAGATTTTTATGTATTGTTTCATGAGAGACTTGCAATTTCAGGGCCATTTTACGAGTGTGTTGCCTTGGGTTAGACTCAACAAGTTTCTTCAGAGCATCAATATCAATTCCAACATGTCGGCCCCTGCCATCACAGTTTTTAAGGCTAAAGTCACCTGGACGAAATTTGCTGAACCATCATCGACACTTACGAACATTCAAAATATTTCCATAAACTACTTTGATATTCTTTGTGGCTACAGAGGCATTGTTTCCTTTCTTGTATTCAAACAACATTACATGCCGAGTGTGTGTCTCCTTGTGAGGCATCACTATAAGGGATTAGAGTATACTAAACTTTACACTTTATATAGACTACACTAACATGACATTTAGGCAGTTCATGTAACTATTATACATGATGTACGTTTTTTGGGGGGGTGGTTAATGAAAGTGTTCCAAAACGTGACATTAATTTCTTGATGACCTAATATAAATATCTATTTACTGTAGTCTTTGGAAAAGGGAATGTAAACATATAAATATTTATTTACTGTAGTTTCTGGGAAATGTAATATAAATATATAATTGTCTGTTTACTGTGGTCACTGGAAAAGGAAACGTAAACATATAAATCTCTATTTATTGCAGTCTTTGAAATAAGAACATATAAACACATAAATATTTATTTTCTGTGGTCTATGGAAAGGGCATGTAAACATATAAATGTTTATATACTCTGGAAGGAAATGTAATAAACACATAGCTGTTGTCAAGGTTAGTAGTCTAGATGATTACCTAAGTCTAATTGTTAATTAATGACTATTTTTTATTTATTACTGCAAGCAACATGCTGTGTATGTAGCGGTATTGATTCAATTTTGGGTTTTCTTGATAGAAAAGCTTGTGTGTTTTGTTTTGAATTAACTGTTTGAATGGTTTCAAGTGGGGTATTCATGTTATGCTGACTTCTGTGCTAGGTTGACTGAATGTGTTATCACATGTAGCAGTCTTCTTTTATCGTTATTTTTGTGGTTCATATGCTATCATTTAGTATTATTACAATTTATCATGTGCTTTATTGACATGTTCAATTATTGCAGATTGATTGGTGTTATACTTTGATGTTATTTTTGTTGCTACAACATATTAAAAGTTCACATTTCTCTGCATTAGACAGTTAGCAATCACTTTGTGTTGAGGCTTACTGTTTCTTAAGTTATACTGTTTACATAGCTTCAGCATGTATTGAAAGAAACATCTGACATAAGGATATATGGCTGTTTGTCTGTAATTTCCTTGCTACTTATTCATGATGTTTTTCTTTGTCAGGGTATCCATTGTCATGGAGGGTAATTTTTTTTAATGTCTTTTTTATTACATATCTGTGATGGTTTAATATTTAGTTGAGATGCTTACCAGTTTTTGTAGGTTTCCTGTAAGCTTCTGTGGTGTATGAGTTATGTATCTTAGTACCTGTGACATCTGGAAATTAGAATTTGTTATCTTCTTCAATATTTAGTTGCTCTAGAAGATTCATGTTTGTTTAATTTAGGATAATAATTCTTTTACTGTAGGAACTTGTGCGGAAGTGTGAACAGCATGTAGAAGATCACATCAGTTTTCAAGAGAAACATGATGAGTGTTCTAAGTGGATTATGGAAGCACAAGACAAGTATGCTGAGGTTACTGCTTTACCCAGTGGAAACCGAGCAGCTTTACAAGTCAAGTATGGTAAAAACAAGGCAAGTTAAGATATATTAACTTTTATATGAACATAGTTAAAATGGTTAGATACCTCAGTAAGTGTTATAATAGTATGAACAGGTTATTTAGATATCCATTTATACTATCCAGTGTTCATAAGTTATATAGATATTTAAATATATTATTCAGTGTTTATAAGCTATATAGATATCCAGGTATCTCATAATATCTGTCAGGTTTTTATAGGGCTGAATTCTTTACAGTAGGTGTTTATGACTGTTTGGCAGTTTGTTCCATTGTTTACTTCGTTCCAACTGAAATGTCCTGGACCATGATAATGCCAGAGCCTGTTGGCATGCACCACTTTTGGCTTACCTCGCCGACCACATTTTATTCAGAATGTCACGTCTGAGAGACGATCCACTATGTCATATGGGCCTTCCCATGGAGATGACAACTTAGGAAACTTCCCTTTGGTCTTACTGGGATTATACAACTACACCTTGTCTCCTGGTACAAAGCTGACTTCAGTAGATCTCTTATCAGAACATAGCTTCATGGAATCAGCAGACGTTTTCAAGTTTGAACGCACTTTCACGAACTCTGACACATTTTCAGGCAACTCTTCGTAAGGTGGGCATCCTGTTATCAGGTCCACTGGCAACTGAAGTTCCCGACCAAACATCAACTTTGCTGGAGTGTATCCAGAGGCTTCATGCTCTGCTGTCCTACAGGCCATCCCCAGTGGAGGGAGTAAGGCATCCCAGTCATCTTGGCAGCTA